AACGCCGCTTAAAGTCCACGATTCGAGTCACGTGCGTGGCTAAACAACGGGGTGAAAAGTCGGCTACGTGATGTTCCGTACACTTAGCACATTGCTTAGACTGGAGAGTTGGAAAATTGGAACCTATTAACCTTTGATAAGGGAATAAAAATGTAAACAATTTTAAGAAACGCTCGTAAAATGAGTACCTGTGTACACTCACAGATATACCATCGGTGCTTTGTAGAAATGACGAATTGCCATTCCGAAAAATGTTACTGGGGAACATACTTTAGGTTTTAACGACATTTTTAAAATATTTTTTTTTTATAAAAGTAATGGGACGAACAAATCGTGCGTCCGGTGGTAAGCGACACGCCTGTCCATGGCAGTTACAATGCCATTCAGAGCTTTAAGTCGCGAAGATCTTGTGGCCACTGCCACTGCGCCCGTCACCTTGAGACATAAGTAGTTGTCACCAAGTCCCATGTGCCTGTAATTTCACCAGCACACTTACACTTCAAAACAGTAAACAGTAATGCTCATATTACTGCTTGGCGGCATAAATAGTTTAGGACAAGGAACTCTATTACTACCAAAACGTTCTTACGATTCGTCCTGTTTTCGAAATGACGCTTTCGCCCTTTCTACCAAACACCGACGATATTTAGAGGAACGTTTGTACAAACTACTGGCCACATCATGGCCACATATACTTACCAGAAGGTAGGTCAATGTACCAGAACATTTAATTTGAAAAATGACTTAGGTCGTTTTTTGATTACGATTATACGTTCTACAGTATCTGCACGCTATGATGGCCGTTTTGACAGATTACAATAGCGAGATCAAATATCTATTCATTTCCGAAAAAAAAAATATAATCAAATGCTAGTCGCATATATAAATTTTTAGATTTATAACTAGTATTGTAAGGGATAGCTGATTAAAAAGTTTTAATAAAACGCAAAAAAATGTTTACCTAATATAATATCATCAATTCGAATCTGCTTTGTTTTGCATTAAGCTTTGACGCGAGCTTGCCGAAGGTAGAAGTTGTGCTGGCCAGCGACCCTCATAAATGACGATCGCATTAGACTTCATTATTAACAATGTCGAATGTCGCAAAACAAATGTCGAGTTGTGTCGTAAAATTCTAGACTCTATAAATTTTACTGCACGTCACTGTTGACAACAATGTACAGCGATTACCTCCTTCAACGTAGTTATGAATTAATACGAAACTTGATGAGTGGACTAACGTCAAAACGGCCATCATAGCGTGCCGGTACTTTAGTATGTGGCCAACAGTTTCTATGTACTTTGTTATCATAATTCAGACTACCTAAATATACCCACGAGTGCCTATACATACGACATCGAAGTTTATCCACAATCTCACCGGAAGGAAAATGCTAATTGCTATGTACTTCTCGCCAAGAAGATAACTCTCTAACAAAAAATTTACTTTAATAATACAATATTTATCATTAACCCATTATAGTCCCGCTGCTGGTCACGGGTCTTATCTAAGAAGAGGTTTAGACCATAGTTCGTCAGACGAGCCCAATGAGAAATAGGGACATAACTCGTTTTCACAGGCCATCACAGAGCCTTCATTGAGAATCAACCGTTCTCCTACTTACCACGGCTCTATCTCATATAATAATGAATTTATTTATTTTTATTTTATTGAATATCATAATGTTAGGAAATGAAACTATTTTCGGATTTAAATCGCTATATTTGTTTTTTCAAACAAACCAACGTTTCGGGCCCTTTACAGGTCCCATGGTCTTGGTTGACTGAGATGGTAAAGTCATCAGTCAGTTATATTTATATCTAATATTAATGCAAACTACCTTATTTTTCGTTTGGTTACAAAAAATATTAATTAAATACCTTATATCGAGTTCTTAGGTTTTCGCGATTGTTACACATAGGAAATGAAACTATTTATCCGGATTTAAATCGCATATATTTGTTTTTTCAAACAAACCGACGTTTCGGGTCCTTTACAGGTCCCATGGTCACGGTTGACTGTCAACGTGACCATGGGGATAAATAGTTTCATTTCCTATAAATACCTTATTTTAAAATTTTACAAGGAACATACCATTACACTACTACTTATACGCTACTTATGTTTTACAATTATTTTGTTTCAACAATGTGAATTTTAAATTAAATTTATTATTAATTAATAATGGAAATTGGAATACATTACATACATCACAGGTAGTAGTACGGAGAAACCATATTTCCTGTTCATATTAGGATGTTTTTTAATTTCAATGGCCTCTCGCTGCATCCTGGGTAGATGGGTAGAGAGGTAGCTAGGAGATACAGCTATTCTTACATAGATATCTCGCGCTTTATGTCACTCTGGCGTAAGTCGTGCCTTATCGTGCTAGCCCTCTAGGCTCTTTTCTACCACGCCACTAACACCATCTGTGAGAAACTCATAAAAGTTTCATATTTTTCATGTACAAAATATGTACTTTGAAAATGCAAGCAGCAAGATCATTTATTTTTTCCGTTTTTAGTATCTTTGCAATAAAAAGAAAAGCTTTTTTAAGTAGAAGAATTCCACTCCAAACTCAGTTATCGTCAGTGAAAGGCTATAACTTTGGGAGCTCATATTTTCAGTTGTTAGCCGTCGCCGCAATTGGTAAGGACGTTGAATTTATAGCTCTCTGCACCGGGTTTTACGAAAGATTTAGCTTGGAAAGGGACTTTGTTAAAACGAATAGAGAATTGTTTTGTGTTAAGTTGCAAATACGAGTCGCAAAGGCACAAAGTTCGAATCAGAAACAAATTTAAACTTCTGATTTTCTTTTTTGATTTTTTATCTGGTGCTATTTCATTAAATAATATCAATATTCTCAAACACATTCACTAAATCTATGTAATTATTACGGTTCTTTTACTCTTAAAAACTTCTTTCGGTCTTTATAACTTAATCTATTACAAAAAATTTGCAATATAAAATAACTTAAAATAAAACAGGGCTTATAAATATTAAACGGATTTATTAAATAAAATAATTACGTAGTCGTGTTTTTAAAAATGTTTTTGTAATTTGTTTATGATTATTGTTGCTTTGTTAATGTTTTCACTAAGTCAAGACTTTAGACTAACTCAAGTTTACGTAAAAATATGCAAATGTTAGCGATTTCTGCTTATGTCGTGTTTCAAAACTGTAAAGATTTGAACACACTCTTCATCCAAAAATAAGTTCAAAAGATCATTATAATAAAGAACAAAATCCCGTAAAATTGTGGTTAGTGTAATAAATTACTTAACATATTTGCCCAGAAAAAACCACAAAGGTGTATAATCAGGCGAACCGCAACATCCTCCCGAGGTGTTTGAGAAGAAACTCGGTAACAATGTGCGCCCACCCCCGAGCCACCCAACGAAGAAACTGGGGGGAACCAGGGCTACTCGTTTTTGTTCCGTTTGCTGCATGTATTACGTGTAAAATAAAATTTACTTATATATCGTCGTTAATTTAGTTATACATCGTCGGCTAAAACCGCAAACTTTGTAACCTCCATTCATGTGAACTTTTGAGTAGGCACATAATCAGAGTACTTACTAGAAATAATTATATGTCAATCTACATTATACCTTTATTTTACAATTAAAAAGGGTCTACAAATTGCACTTTAGACTTTAGTGGCCCGATATTGCATTTAAGAGTAAAAAATGGACTTCATCCAAAAACGGAATTGCGAGGTTTTCTAAAGGATAAATAAACCTAACTTTTTTAATAACCCCCAAAGTCGTTATCACTTGTAATTTAAGGCGATACAGGTTATTATAATCTACACTAAATTATAAGAACCTATTTTATAAAAAAATAATACTATATCTTTAATATTATAATAATCAATGGATGACACTTAAAACAAAAAGTGCGTAAGCGCCAAATTCTGAATGTGCCAATAGTAAATGTTGTAATCGAAATACATCGAGGTTTTTCCAGGTCAACGTAATACGAAGTGAGCAACCCTATTATTCGTGTTTGATTCTCAAAGGCTGCACAAGTCAGAGGCGGCGTCAAAGCGAAATGGAAAAGGCACATCGACCTACTGTCGCAATGTTGCCTCTGTTTTGTAGTATATCTAATTCTACACGAAGTGACGTAAGTCTGTGTAAAATCACACATGTACAAAACATAAAGAGGGTTTTGCCTTACTAAAAACTACAAATAAACTATCTACAAGTTCATAGAGACTATACATACATTTCGACAATTAAGAGGAGTAAAAACTTCAACAAGAACCTTTTAGTCAATTTCTTTTTCATTTTTTTTTATTTCACTATTTCGTTCCCTTTGTGTAACCATTAAAAGCCATTAAAAGTGGTTTAATCATATGAAAGTCATAAAAATAATACGAACTATATGAAACAAATTATGCATACATGAAAACACTCCTATTTCATCATAAAAAAAATCGACTAATTTCGTTCGTAGCATCTATAAACCGCTCTCCTAAAAAGTTGTTATTTTGCGGATGTGGCCTTGTTACACCAACTGTGAAATTAAAAGAATATGTAACGCGATAACAATATTTCTACTACTATTTTATTTTATTTTTTCTCACGTCCTTAGATTGCCATTGAGGTAGACAGAGACATTGATAGTCACTTAGCACGATCCTGATAAACCTCTCTGGCTTTTTTAACCGATTTCAAAAAAAAAGGAAGTTCTTAATTTGACTGTATTTTCTGTATACCTAACTGGATTTGTGAACCGATTTTGATGATTCTTTTTTTGGTCCCATTTAAATTTGAAGTAAATATTCTACCTCTAAGGGTGGCAAATTAAGGGATGAATCCGGTGTCGCGCACTGTCCGGTAACCGATTACAATAAAACTTGTAAAATGGATGTAATTCCAGTAACTTTTGAGGTCCGGTTTTTTTTTTTATAAAAAAGGTAAAATTATTACATTCATAAATCTTTTCATAGAGGCCCTCTTATTCTTCTTCTACTAGTAAACTACCTACTTACCCCGTTTATGGTCTTCCGAATTGCCAGTCCTATTCAGTTGAGGTGGTAAAGGCGCTGGTATCGTTGGAGCCGCAGGGGCAGTTGGAAGTCCAGGGTACCACCATCCCGTCGCGGCTTGCCCATTGAACATGCGTAATTTTTCGTATACACTATCATTCTGCGCTTGCGACGCTGCTTGCTCCTTTTGCGACGCTAGGTTCCGAAGTACTCGGTTTATTGATGATACCTGTAAAAGCGATATGAGGTCAGACTTTGCCAGGTAACTAAAATCGTAATTTTACCCGGGAACACTTATTACTTAACACTGCATTACTTTTAAAATTAATAAACCAAATAAGTAAACCATCTTCAAAAACTGCTATTTTGTCGTTGAATTATACGATGTGAATAGTAATCGATAGATACCACTCACATGGCTCAAACATACTAAAGGCTGTCCCAAAATTCACGCAAGAAGTAATTTTCATAGAAAACACAGGCTTATAATTAGAAATTGATCCATGAAGTACACGGCATAGGGTTAAGTGTGGTAAAGTATGTCGGGTAAATGTCCTCCACGACTTTGCTGGCACATTCGCACTCTTTTCATAAATTTTCGATGACCTTTTTGCATAACTGTGATTGAATCTCGTTGATACAGCGCTCAATTTCCTCCTTCAAGCCGTGAGGCTTGTTAACATAAAACTTTCAGGAGGCTCTTTCCATGCTAGGTACGGTAATGCAGTGCTTAGACTGGCGAATTTTGCAACACGATGTTTCAACCAAATTACGAACCAAAAGCAACTTTCAGAGTCTCAAACCAGCCTCGTAACCTAATACCTGCACAAGGAAACTTTCTACGCGACCACGTATAGCGCTGTCAAGGTGGCAACATTCTATTCAAAGTCAATACAATCCTAAAACACGAGAGACATCAACACGATAAAAAGACTATACGCTACTTGACCATACGCAAAAAAAAACTATGAATATTGTAACGTAATTCACATTACACTGCATATAACATCTATTTACCGTAAATAACTATCTAATAGGAAATAAATTGGCGACCCAACCCCACCCTTTCAAGTTACAAACACGTGTAATTTAAAATCTAATATGATTACTAAATTCCAATCGGGAGGCTCAAAGGGACACAGATTAGGGCATCCCTCCCGCGCCGCCCCGCCTCATCCCCTTCAGGGCCTAAAAACCCCAATATCTATCTACTTTCGCCGAAAAAGCACGCATGCGTAAAAACCTGACTCACACAAATATAACATAATATATAGTAGTATATATGCTCATTTTAACACGTACTGCCTGTCGTTATATTTATGTGGAGGGCGCCCCTAGATATAATATCTATCTGTTTTCTTGTTGCCATTGGCAACGGCGGGAATGTATTTTTCACAGGGAGGAAAACGCGACGGGGCGTCGCGACTCTGAAACCGCGAATGTGCTTTGTGTGAGAATCGGAGTTCTGCCACTTTTGGCTTGGTAATCGGTACGCGTTTAGTTCTTTCTTTTTAGGGATTTATAAATTATCTGCTATTGTTTTTTTTTTAATTTAATTTTTTTATTATACTTTCTTTGTAAAGAGATTCTGTTAAAAACAACGCAGTGGCAGTGCCCCTCAGATCTTTGCGATTTAAGGACTATCCACACACATCAGGGCCGAGCCCGGGACGTGGACGGGGCGTGCTAGTTTGTATGAACTGTGGCCCCTTGGCGGCATCGGCCCGGACATGGACATGTGTGGACGAGTTCATACAAAATATACGCAACGATTTTTTTTTAAGCCCCTGACGGTGCATGGTCCGTCCACGTCCCGGGCACGTCCCGGATATGTGTGGATAGACTATTAAAGCTCTGACTGACACTGCAACTGTTATGGACAGGCGTATTGCTTACCCACCAGACACACGACTTGTTTGTGACGAGACGTCACTTGTTATTATATAAACAAAATTGCTGTAATAACATAATATATATTATTAAAAAAACATCAAAATTAATATTATAAATACAATAGTAATTCTGTCTGTCACGTTTCACGCGTGCTGTCGCTGAACCAATTCGATGAATTTTGGTATAAAGATAGATAGGATCTAGGAGAAGGACATTGGCTACTTTTTGTCACAAAAATAAATCTTAAAGGGGTTGAAATATGGAATAAAAGTTTATATGGAAAACCAATAAAAGATGAAAATCAGTATACAGTAGGCTACTCGAAGTAGTTATTTTACGCTGACGGACTCGCGGGTACCAGCTAGTATATTACATACAAAATAGTACATTGGGAATAAAGCTATATTTTCAGATCTAAGTCGCATCAACCGTGACTATAGTACCTGTACAGAGCACTAAGCTTTCGTTTTATTTGAAAAAACAAATTTAGTGACTTCGATCCGAAAATATACTTTCGATCGTCTAAAAAGCCAAAATAAATATCGACTTCGCCAAATGTAAGTATGAAATACTATACCTCTGTAACGTGTTTTAATCCCTTGTTCCACTAATGGAAGATAATGTACATGTACGCAGCACCTGCCGGATTGAGCCCACTAACAGTTCGCTATTTGCTAGCCACTGTAGAGAAACTTGTGTGGTGCTACATAACGTACTGTACTCATATGGGTTTTCCGATTAATGTGTTCTAAGAGGATACAAGTTTTAAAATTCGAATTGCGTTTTTTGTGCTTCACACACGTCGAAGAAAGCAATTTTGCTAATTATCTTTTTGTAGAATGATAAAACATTAAGGTAAATAACCCGAGAAGAATTGTAATCAAATAAAATAGACTAGAACAATTTTAAATGTGTAACGAATTAGTTTTTTTTTAAAACCAGTTATTTTAATGTCAAATTAGTCTAGATGCTTATAATCATCTAGACTAATTTGACACTAAACTTGAAATATTAATCTGAAGGTCCAGTTTGATCTAAATTAGATACATACATTTAAGCTCTTACTAGAATCTTAGAAGAGATTAGATATTAAAAAAACAATCCAATCAGATGACATAAAATACTTTCCTAAAAGCATTTTCAAACATAGACAGAGCCAATAAGAGAGCCACATTTAAAACACGAGTTCTGTTTCTGACAGCACCCCGACCAATCAGATAGGCCGAAAAGATTAAAGAACGGTGTACACGTTCCTATTAGAGTATGAAAGGATTATCTATAGTATTGTATGAATATTTATTTTTATAAATGTGATTTAAATGCAACTAATGAATTAACCGTCTTAATCGTGATTGGAAAAAAGAACATAGTACTAAAATATTTGCTTCCTTTTATTGTTATAAAAGAGTTGAGAGTTGAAGTTCCGATGAGTTCTTATTGAAATTAACTAAGACGAAGACAGCGGTCATGAGAAACCTGAGAGGTTATTTGGTACGTTTTACCATATAATAATTTGTTTAACGACGAGGGAGTAATATTTCCGAGATCTTTCTGTATAGAAAATTATCAAAAATCTGTACATCAATGAGTACATGATACACACATTTATCTCATATTAAAATAAAAGAAAAATAAGCAGACAAAATCGTAGTAAAAAACTAAAAATATAGATCTGCAACAAGCACATAGAAAATATCGTAAGGTCTGTTGGGATAGTGTCAGACACGGCATGGTGAAGGCGCTAGTTACATCGTCATATTCAATAAACTCAATAATAATACAGTTCTTTTTTTAAATTAAGCACGTGTCGAGATACAACGTAGTCTAATTCAATTTTGTCACCGATCGATCTGTTTATTTGCTCAGATGTCACTATTTGTAGGATTCCAACTAATCGCCGGTTGATTTTGTACGCAAGGGTAGATGCAGCTGTTGTGTTTTTTTACTCTAAAATAGTAACTTTTGATACAATTTGTTTTACTAATTGGCTTTTTAATTGTTATGTAACAGACATATGTTAATTAAACAAAATGTGCAATTAAATGTGAAATTATGTGAATATTTAATTTAAATGAGGAATTGTATTTAAATTATTTTTCAATGAATATTTATGCAGCTGTATATACATCATTCTTAATTTTATTTATAAAAGACAGGTAGTGTTTACTCTTATAAGGATTGCTTAAAAATAAGCACTTTTGCACTTACGACTTTTTTGAAGCAAGGGTTCCGAATTCGTGCGCAGCGATGTGTGTAAAGGGTCTAAAACTTTCGTCAGTTTTCGACGGGGGATGCGTGCCCGTGCATGGGGCGCTTTAAACGAGATTTAAAAAAGGAACTTTTATTTTTGAAACAACGGTTTTAAATTTTTAGGGTTCCGAGCCTTGAAAAGTAAGGAACTCTTATAGTGAAACTTTATTGACAACTATTGCTAAGTAAGATAAAAAGCTTCCAAACATTTCTAGGTTCTCGGAAAAAAAGTGATACCTAAACAATTATTGCGTCACATATATATTACACTTAGAACTAGATTTCATTCCAAAATTATTTTCGCACGACTTGTCTACAAACCATAAGCAAAAATGGTGGTTATCGCGTGTTAAATAAGGTACATGACTGTCGGAGCGGTAGTTCGAAGAAAGTTCTAACTAGTACCATTAAATGTGATCAGAAGATGGTTTTTATTTAACTGTCCAGTCAATATAAACTCAAACGACTCTTTTAGTTCTTGACGTAAATGAGACGGTTGTGGGTAAACTTTCCGATAAATAATCTTTACCTTACGTGAGCGACTTTACCATTACATATTTTTAACATAAAGAAAAACAGACACATTAAAACTAGATAAATTATTTTAGTGCTCTAATCATGAAAGGTTAAAAACGTGCGATAATTGTCGCCACCTCCATAATTATAACGTACGAACTTAAACTTATTAAAAAAAATTAACTTCGTTTAAAATTCTCATCTTAAACGGCGCGCTCAACGAAACCCGATCCAACTGACACCATTTCATGTTGACGTCCAACAAGAGTATAAGATGTTGTAAACTGATACGAGTATTCGTACGTACTTTGCGTATTTTATTTTTTAAATTTTGTTCAACTAAATTATTAAATATCCAGGATAATAAATCTTAACGTATTTAGTAACCTTATTAATATTATTAAATAGCCTTTCTTCACTAACAGCTGTCACGGACATTTTTGTTTTAACTAAGTAAAACGCAAAATCTTCAGCTTTCATAAGTGAACATCATCATCATCAATTCATTTATACGTCCGACTGCTGGGCACTGGTCCCCCATAAGGCCATAGCCAATGCGTGTTGGTGACT